AAAAAAAAAAAAAAAAAAAAGGTCTAAAAGAACTTAAGAGGAGAGAGGAAGGGATACTGATAACCTCCAGGGAGGAATTAAAAACAAAAAAACCCATAAAACACAGTTGGCATTGTATTGGCTCCAACTCATAGCAACCCCATGTGGGTCAGAGGAGAACTGTGCTCCATAGGGTTTCCAATGTTTCATTTTCTTCCAAGGCACCTCTGGCTAAGTTCAAACCAGCAAGCCTTCTGTTAGCAGCTGAGCATGTTAACTGTTTGCACACTAAGGGACTTTCTAGGGAGGAAGAGTCCCTTGTAAATAGTAGGCACTTGATAAACATCTACTGAATGGGTGGAAGGATGGATGAGTGGATGGGTGAACAAACGGATAAAGAATCTCTAATGTAGGGCCATCATTTTGGGGGAAGTAAAGGTAATATACTTCTGAGAGACATGGGATGACAAAAGGTGGTTTGGAGGAACTCCCCCAAACAAGCACCAGAGTACCTCTCTCCTCAATCATTCCCTGGTCCAAGGACAAACAACGAAAACTCAGGTCTGGTAACTGAGTGCCTGATGGGCACACTGCTTCATTTGAAGGGAGGTATTAATTTCAGTGCGGTGTCACAGTCAGGTTTTAAGAAACTAAAAAATGGCACAACCAAGAGATAAGTGAAAATTAAGCAAAGGTTAAGACCAGCCCCACTTGTATCACTATGAAGAAAAGTCAGATATGTAAGTTGACATAATCACAATCTCTGGCTTCCCTAAGGGGGAGGAGCTCAAGCCATATGACTTGGAGTCCAGCAGAGTTCTTGAAATCTTTCCTGTCTTTAAGGGGGCAGGTCCATCAGCAGATAAGGCAGGATGTCAGGCGGCACTGGTCAAGAGGGATATCAGAGTTTAGACAGTTGACCAGGACCATGGGTTCAAACAAATCCAGATCTTCTTAACTGAGAATGGACAAGTCAATCTTTGTCATCCCCTCATAGCCCTCAGACCACAGTCTCCCTGCAAATCACGAGCTCTTCAATCTTCAGGGGTTATGCGAGTCAGAAGTTCTCCCATTCACTCCTGTTCCCATGACCCAGTCTGGAATTCAAAAGCTCCAAGCACGTGGCTGCCTGAGAAGACAGACAGGGGCCTGCAGACCCCATGATAGCACCACTTAGAACTTGATTGGCTTCACTAGCTCCCCCAACATCTTCAGAGTCAGTGCTGACTTCCTCTGGCAAGGCCTGGTAGGGGTGCAGATGGCAAAACCTGCACGGGAGGGAAGGCAGCCAAACAGAAGCAGGTGTTCCCTCAATCTTTCTCAATATAATACCCCACATGGAGAGTTCACTTTCTTAGACCTTATTTAGCTCTAATAAATCAGCACTCCAGGTTGCAACTGCTGGAAATTTCCTCAAAGTCCTTACAAAGTCTTGAGGCATGTTCAGGAACTCCCATCAAAAGACAGAGATGTCACTCACTAGCCTGCTTCTGCACTGAAACCCTGTCCCTTTGCCCAACCACAGATGCTCAGTTTTCTCTGAGCAGAGGAGGAGCAGTGGGCAAGATGATTCTAGAAACTACCATGTCAAAAAACAAGCAAACTTCAGGTGTGCTCAAAAGGCCTGAGGACCAGACAGCAACTGAGAAAGCAAGAGGAAAGAGATTTAGGAGCAGTAGATGGGGCTCAAACTCTAGAATAGCTCCCTTGCTTGGTGATCACATGACTGTGAGGGGCACAGGACCCAGATGGCTGTTCTGAAGCAAAGAAGACTCCAACTTTGAGAACACAAAGATTTTAATTGGATGGTTATCTGTATTCCCACTTGCCCGCCTCTGTCTTATTTGCCTTCTTCTGGACCCTCTCCTGATGCAGCTGCCTCATTCAGTGCATGGTATGAACATCCCAACCCCCTACCCCCAGTAGCATAAAGCTCTGCCTGTCCCTAAAACTGCCTTAAGTCTCACCTAGGGAGAGGATTCTTAGTTATAATTGTGGTGATGGGCTTGTACAGGAGAAGAAGTGGTAGAGGCAGAGGCTACAGAGAACCAGACAGGGGTACTTGTGAATGAAGACAAATCACCTAAAATATGGCATCTTAGAAAGCTAGAAGCAAGAGGTAGCCAGGTAACAGAAAAGGAAGCCAGGTAACAGAAAGCTGAGAGGTTGGGTAGGATTACTTATAGGAGCCTAGATTCTTGGAGGACCCTCTCTGCCACATGGGCTGTATAGGAACCCCTGGTGTGGTCACCGTAGCTCATGCCTGCTAGTATCCAAGAGGATGGTAAGTCAAAATAAAACATTGAAAAAAAAAAAAAAGAGGATGGTAAGCATGTAAACACTTCACCAATGGGCTCCCAGTGCTCCTGGAAGTGAAAGTGGCAGGCTAGGCTGTTAAGCTGGCTAAAGACAATGGTCTATATGTGAACATTATCATATCCTTTACCCTTGAGTGGGAGGAGAGCTAGAAAGGGCTGACCCATGAAAGTTTAAGTACTTGTGTGTGGCAAGCAAGCACTCTGCCACCAGAGAGCTCAGGTTCGCTGTACTGGTAATTACCATCTGCTGAAAGGCCAACTGAGAGAAAAGACAGGTGCTTTAGGAGGGCTAATAATTTGGTGCAGATACTCAGAAAGTAGGGAGCCCCAGAAAGAAACCTTTTTACCTGCTGTTGGTTCCACTTGAGGTCAGGGATGAGGACAAAGCCGTTGGAGGGATCTGGGTTCTCGAAAACAATCCGGTCAGCTTCAGCCTTCTTCTCGAGAATGTTATATACCCACTGGGAGGGGGTGGGGGAGACAGAAAGGGTTCACATTTCCAATCACCACCCCTTGGGAGATGTCCCATGCAGAGCAAGGGAAGCACTCTCTGACCACCCCTGGGAAAAAACAGGCCATGAAAGGCTGCTAAGCTCAGAGAAGCCACACCCAGCAGTCCTGTTCCTGGGGTCCTTCCTCCTACAGCTGGTACATAATCATCATGGTCACCCCACAGGGATCCACACAGTGCTGACAACACTCTAGGGTCTTCAGGTCAACACTGTGCACACCCTCTGCTGTGGCCTCACAGGTGTGACCTGTAACTACCTCTAGCACAGTAACTCCTCCACAGTCTAAGGACTCAGGCAGAGGCTGTCTGGTAGAGCCAGGCTCACTTTATTCAGGCTTAGGTGGCAAAAAGCAGGTGCAGAGATTGAGGGCTGAGGTTTCCTTCTGCATCAGGAGCCAGCCACATGTCAGGGCAGTGAGAGCATGTAGCTCTCGAAGTCGGTATGTGTGGGGTTCCCACCATGCTGGGACTCTGTCAGGATTAGCACCTCAGCATACCTCGAGCTAGTCTCATTGGCATATGCCTCCGGTACCACAGAACAGCAAGGTCCATGTGGGGCAAAGGCAATCACATCCTTGATCAGCTGTGGTCTTCACAGGACTCTCCCTCTGGTGGTGGTAGTTATGTGCCATGGAGTCGGTTCCAACTCATAGTGACCTTGTACAGGGTTTCCGCAGCTGTAAATCTTTATGGGAGCAGAAAGCCTCATCTTTCTCCCGCGGAACAGCTGGTAGTTTCAAACTGCTGACCTTGCGGTTCGCAGCCCGATTTGTAACCACTACGCTACCAGAGCTCCTTGGGACCCTCTCTCTAGTGCTGTGTCATTCCAGAGGTCACTTACAACAAGGTCCTGGATTGACTTGCTGAGGATGCCTGACAACAGTTAGAATTAGAATCCCCTGAACAAGTTCCTGAGTGTTGCATAAGGTAAAGTATTTGACTGCAAACTGAAAGGTTGGAGGTTCAAGCCCACACAGAGGGGACAAAACCACACCCATGGAGCACAGTTCTGCTCTGATGCAAACAGGATCGCCATGAATTGTCAACTAATATTTTTGCTGTTGTTAACACAGGGTCAACTCATAACTCTGCTAACATAGGCTTTTCTCTGCTTCCCCCTAGCTCTGAAAGCTGTTTGGAAATTCAAAACACTTCCAGAAAAGTGCACTCTGCCCTAAACCTAAAGGATGGAGGGAGCTTAAGTAGCTGCCAGCGTCCACTCTGTCCTGAAAGGCTTCCAAGCTTCCTGACAGGGTGGAGAGGTGGGGAGTGAGGGCTACATATCTGAGCTGGGAGGACAGGGAACCCACACACCCCATGGAGAGCCCCTTGCCCCAAGCCCAAACTGCCAGCACAATGATAGCCAGAGGTGGGGAGAGTGGCTTAGAGCAAGAACACCTCAAACCTGAGCCTCAAGGGTTATGCAACCTCAGCTCCAGGTCAGTATAGCCAGGGTATAACAACCTGCTGGAAGTGGAGAGGTAAGACGTAGAGGGCACCTCCTGGGAACAGCTGGGACCCTAGAACAAACTGGAACCTCTCAGGTATCCTGCAACTACCCAGCGGAGGTATTCCTGATTAGAGGGTCTCACAAAGCCCTGATAAAACTCACAGGCTGGTTATGATGCATCCTACCCATCCCCAAAGATTGGCCTTCCCAATGAAAGCCTGGTGGTGCTGCATCTGGAGGGGTAAGGGGAGGGCTGCTTCCTCTTGTCTCATGCTGACCAGGGCAAGCACAACCTTGCACATTGAATTCTCCAAGAGGCAACAGCTCTCCCTCAGGAAAGCTCTCTAGAATGTGCTTCCAGAACAAAGTCAGCAAGAACTTGACCAGCAGCTTCCCAAAACAAAGGAGAGGAGGGAGATGGTGAGTCTCCTTGGAGGGCCTTGGTGCACCTCACAGGCAGGGCTCCTTGATGGGAGATGGTGAGTCTCTTTGGAGGGCCCTAGTGCACCTCACAGGCAGGGCTCCTTGATGAGTTGTCTTTTCGCCACAGGCAAATGAGAAGGCAGCAGGAAACATAACAGAGAATGAGCTTTGGAGCCTGTGATTGTTAGTTTTATGTGCCAATATAGCTAGGCTATGGTGCCTGGTTGTTAAGTGGACCAGTAGTGTAGACTTCCTTATGAAGTAGTCACATGTGACTACAGCAGTTAGTTTCAAGTAGAGCAGATTACCCTCTATAAAGTGGATAATGGGTTGAAGACTTTCAGAGCAAAACCAGGGAGCTTCCCTACGGTGTGTTCTGCCTCCAGACTCTAAGCAGATGCTTTGCCAGCACTCCCTCTCTTCATTCTGCTAGCTGCCTGACCTATGCGTTTTGGGACACAAGCCTACAGGAGTATCCAGCTTGTCACCTGACTTTGGACTTGCCAGGCCCCACAATTTTATGAGTCAATCCTTAAATGCAATCAGTCAACCAATTTCACGCTTTATACATACTCCTGGTGTGGTGATGTACGATAAACACTGGACTACTCACTGCAAGGTGGGTGGTTCAAACCCACCAGCTACTTCACAGAAATCTTGAGTTGAAACTGACTCAAATGCACATAACAAGGGGGCTTCAAAAGTTTGTGGGACATTTTCATTATCTTTTCATTCCATTTTCTTTTGGAACTTTTGGAGGCCCCACATATATCTCACTGGTTCTGTTTCTCTAGAAAACCATGACTAAGATACAGCCCAACAAGACTTGGCTTTCAACTCCCATCCCAGCTCTACCACTAACTAGCTGTCCCCTTGGATAAATTCTTTAATCTCTCTAATGTGAAAGGGGGCTAACAGCATCGACATATTAGGATTGTGGCAAAGACTTTAGGTGAGAAAATGCATGTGATAGCACCTAACACAGAGCCCAGAATGTAGCAGGCACCTTGAGAGCAAAGTAAGGTTCCTGGAAGACTCCAGAATGAGGACAATTTGGGAAAGTGGGACAGTTTGCCTGAGGGAAGGGAAAAAGGAGGTAATGCTAGTCTGGGAGGCCAGCAATCACTGGGAAAGAGATGATGTCCCCTGGGAAGCTGCTATCTTTACTATCAATCATTATATGGGAAAGGCAGGGATTGTGTGCAGAGCTAGGACATCCTGGAAGCATGGGGATGTGGTGAACCTCACACAATCCTGTTATATTATTCCTGTTTACTGGTACATGAAAAGCAGATACAAGACAGTCCATACAAGGAGTTGAACCTCAAATTCAGCCTGACTCCAAGGCCACATCTTTGGCTTTCTGGGTCCTGCCAGTTGGAGAGGGGAGGCTCTGGGAGAGGGAGAGGAACTCAAGGCCAAAAGCCCAGACAAGAAAGGGATTGAAATTCACACAGGCCATAGAGTACCCTGGAGTCCTGGTGTGGCGCTGTGGGTTAATGCGCTGGACTGGAAGATCGATTTGAATGCAAGGTCAGCAGTTCAACTATACCAGTTGCTCCTTGGAAAACCTACACAGGGTCACAGTGGGTCAGAACTGACTTGACGGCATTCAACAACAATAACAGCAGCACAGAGGACAATACGAGGAAAGGGCACCCACTTGAGAGCACCTGCCCATCCTGTTGATAATGGTGCTGTGGGGACGATGAACAGATATCCAGATACCTCCAATAGGACTTCTCTGCAGAAGGCAACTCCCTTCTTGGCCCTGTCTACCTTGGCCTCCCATCCCTTTTCTCTTAGATCTCTATATCTGCTCCCTCTCCTGGCAGGCCACACTGTCCACACCTCCCAGATGTCCTAGCTCTGCAAACTTTCCCTGACCACTTCTGGAGAACTGCTCTTCTTATCTTTATTACACAAGGAAGAACAGGAAGTCTGTGCATCTGGGAGGCATGGGATCCTTTCCTGGGCAACAAACACAGCAGGTGTGATTTGTATAATTTTTCCCACCTTCCAAAACCACCATAAAAGGAAGGTGCTACTGCTCTCAATTTCTAGATCAGGGACCTGGGTACAGAAGTTAAGGACACAGTCATACAGCTGATAGGTAGCAGACTAAGAAGGCAAATCCACAGCCTGTCTTGAAGACTTCACAAATAGACATCTTTAGCCTGATGTGGTGCTCCAGGGCCATGCAGCCCATTTGCTGCCTTTTGGGAATTTTCACTGGAAAGTTATGAAGGTTTCAAATCTGAGGAGCTAAAATAGTGTAGCTAGCTAAAAGCACAGACACTGGACCCAGAGCATCTGGTGTAGAGTCCCAGCTTCGATGGTACACAGAAAAAGGCTTACAATATTCCTATTATATATTGTTGTTGTCAGGTACCAGTGAGTTGGTTCCAACCCACAGCGATCCTATGTACAACAGAACGAAACACCGCCTTGTCCTGTGCCATCCTCACAGTTGTTATGCTTGAGCCCATTGCTGTTGCCACTGTGCCAATCCATCTCGTTGGAGGGAGTCTCCCTCTTTTTCACTAACCCTCTACTTTACCAAGCATGATGTCCTTCTCCAGGGACTGGTCCCTTCTGATAATATGCCCAAAGTATGAGAGATGAAGTCTCGCCATCTTAGCTTCTAAGGAGAATTCTGGTAGTACTTCTTCCAGCATGTTGTTGTTGTTGTTGTTGTTATGTGCTGTGGAGTCAGTTCTGACTCATAGCGACCCTGTACAGGATGTTTGCAGTTGTTTCTCCTCAATTTGAGATGTGCCTCAGCAGCAAATGAAGGTCCTAAAAGCTTTACTCCACTCGCATCCTTATGGTCAACTCTACTTTGAGAAGACAACTTTTCCCTAGTGGTATTTTGATTTATCTGAGGGGCTTATCTCACAATGTTTCTATTATTCATAAGGTTTTCAGTGGCTAAACATTCTTAAGTAGTCTGTATCCTTCAACCTAGACATTTTAAGTCTAGTAGCTCTGCTAAAACCTGTCCACCATGGTTGACCCTGCTGGTATTTTAAATACTGGTGGCATAGCTTCCAGCACCACAGCACCACGAAAGCCACCACAGTACAAGAAATGGACAGACAAGTGGTCCTGTCTGTTAGATGGAGGAAAAGGGCTGAAACTTGGATGATGAGGGGCCCACTGACCCATTCTGAACATCAATTTATAAGCCCTGTTAAGACTTATCTCTTAAATTGCTAGTATATCCCTCCACACTGTCTCAGTTCAGACCCCTACTGGCTTTTAGATTTGCTGTCAAGTCTTCTTGCCACTCACCAATTTAATTTCTAATACATTGGAATTTGTTTGATAAACATTACTTACATGCCTATTTCTGATGATTATTAGAACTATCAAAGAGATTTTTTAAATACAGAGCTCATAGTTCCTGAGGATTCTGATCAGTAGATGAAAGAATATTGTTCCATGGTCTGTACTTTTAAAAATCTCCCCTGGTAATCCTGATGATAAAGTTTGGGAATTCCTGGTCAACGTCTAAAACCTGACTAAACTACCATCTGTGAACTTACAGAATACTTAATCCACTGTCACTTATCCCACACAGTGTTGCATTAGATCAAGGAACCCAGTTCACAGCAAAGGAAGTACAGCAATGGGCCCACACTCATGGAATTCACTATCTTACCATCTTCCTCATTATCTTGAAGCAGCTGGCTTCATTGAACAATGGAATGGCCTTCTAAAGATACAATTACAGAGTCAGCTAGATGGCAATACCTTGGAGGGTTAGGACAATATTTTCCAGGAGGCTATATAGGCTCTAGACAAACATCCATATATGGTACTGTTACTCCAATAGTCAGGATCCATAAGTCCAGGAACCAAGGGCTGGAAATGGGAGTGGCACCACTCACTCACTGTTACTCTTGGTGACCCACTTGCAGAATTTTTGCTTCCTGTCCCTGTGACCCTACACTCTTTGGGTCTAGATGTTTTAGTTCCAGACAGGGAAAACTTCCACCTGGAGACACAGCACTGATTCCATTGAACTAGAAATGAAGAATGCCCCCTGGCCATTTTACGAGCCTCATGCCTCTTGATCGACAGATAAAGAAGGGAGTTACTGTATCAGGTGGTGTGGCTGATTCTGATTACCCAAGGGAAATTTGGAGTGACATTACATAATGGAGGTAAAGAAAAATATTTGTGGAATCCAGGACGTCTTTTAGTACTACCATGTCCTGTGATTAAAGTCATTGGCAAACTACAGTAACCCAATTCCAACATGACTATTAATAGCCCAGCCCATTCAGGAATGAAGGTTTAGGTCACACTACCAGGCAAAGAGCCACAGGCAGCTGAAGTGCTTGCTGAGAGCAAATGGAATATAGAATGGATAGATGAAAAAGGTAGTTCTAGATACCAGCTATGGCCATGTGACCAGCTGCAGAACTAAGGACTGATTGTTATGAATATATATATTTTTTGTTTTGTATGTGTGCATCAAATACTTTTGCTTTGCTCAGTTGGGAAATATAAGATGTCAATGGGGCCAGAGCATTTTCAGTTGTACATGTTTTAGTTGTATTATGTTAGACACAAGTATGACTTTACAATCGTCTTTATTTTGAGATTATGCATATGGTTTATATAGGTACCAAGCTGACAAGCTGTGGACTGTGATAGTTAAAGTTTTGAGTCAACTTGACTGGGCCAGGATTCCCAGTGGTCTAGCAGTTGAGATGTAGTTATCCCCATGGTGAGATTTAATAAGTGTAATTAACTCTATGATGATTGGCTATTAGCAGCCAACCAATTGAAAGGCAGTTTCCTTAAGGGTATGGCCAGTTTCCAATACATTGGACACGCAGGCAAAGCTTGCTTGCTTTCGGCTAGGTCTAGATCTTATATCTGGCTCATCCTCCGACCTCTGCTTCTTTGGATCTAAGCTAGTGGCCTACTCTATTACCTGTCAATCCTGGGAGCAATCAGTAGCCTGTCTTCTTACCTGCCTGCCTGCCTGCCTGCTGATCTTGTTTCATCCGACCTAGACCTGGGATTTTCCCTTTAATTGTGAACCATTTCCTTGATATAAACTTCTCTTTATGCACACATACACATATAAGTTTCACTGGTTTTGTTTCTCTAGAGAACCCATCCTAAAATACTTGGTAAGCCATCTACCTTGTTTCTGTTGTTATGTGCTGTCAACTTGTTTCTGACTCATAGTGACCCTGTTTAGGGTTTCCAAGGAGCAGTTGGTGGGTTTGAACCACCGACCTTGATGTTAGCAGTCCAGTGCTTATTGTACGGCACCATACCAGGATTCCCACCACAGGGATCTGTAAAAGAAGGAAGTGGCCAAGGTCACAGCCCCCAGAGCTGACTCTCCTGGAGCAGCCAGGTACCTGAATACTGAGGCTTTGAGACTCTAAGTGGGGCAAAGTGATGTTCTTGTAATCATCGCCAGTCTCTCGGATCAACCGGAGGTCTTGGTGCAGGTACTTTTGCAGGTGTTTCTCTGTGGCAGGGTAAACCACGGTGGTCTTCACATCTGTAATGAAGCAACACAGTCCATGATTGAAAAGTAAAACTCAATCTCTCTGCATTGTGTTTTCCTACTCTCACCTCATAGCAGCCCCACGCCCCCTCAACTGTGGTTCCATATTTCAATGAATAATGGAATAAGAGGTTATATCCATCCACAATCCAGTCCCATGAGGCACTTCAGGTCATTAAATTCATAAGGGGAGCCACACTCATAACCTGGAAAACACAAGATTTTCACTGATGGGTCACTGGGCCCCTTGTCACTTTCTCCTTCATTTCACATTTCACAGTCTTAGGAAAGAAGAGGAACAGAATTTCTCATTCTTCTAGGGGCTTCCTCCAATCTCTAGCTATGTGGTTTTCTGAGTACAAGGCTGAAAATGGATTTAATGGTTAACACACTTGGCTGCTAACCAAAAGGTTGGCAGTTCAAGTCTCCTCAGAGGTGTCGCTGAAGAAAGGGCTGGTGAGATTTACACCTGAAAGAACACAGTTCTGTGACACATATGGGGTCACTAAGAGTCGAAGTCAACTTGACAGCAGGTGGATTTTTTTGTTTTTTAACCTTAATGAGAGGCAGCTCAGCTTAGCACAGTAGCTTAAAGCATGGACTCTGGATCTGACTGCCAGAGTTCAAATCCTGGCTCTTTCTGCTCTTAATATGTACGAGGACCTTAGTCCAGCTATGTAACCTCTTTGAGTCCCTGCTTCCCCTTCTGTCAAATGAGGGTAATAACAGCTCTTATTGATAGGCTGGGAGGACTGAGCAGGTTAAAAGCTGAAAACCACTTAGAACATATCTAGCAAACAGTGAATAATACACAAGTGCTGGCTATTTTTGATCCGGAGTTTTTCTACCTCAGCATCACCAACATTTTGTGTCCGGTAATTCTTTGTTATGAGCATTGTTCTGTACATTGTAAGATTTTTTTAGCGGCACCCATTAGATATCCACCCCCAACCTCAGTTATAAAAAACAAAAACTTCACACACTGTCAAATGTCCCTTGCAAGGAAAAATTGCCCCTGGTTGAGATCCATTGGTTAAATTGGAAAGAAACTTAAATTAAAAAAAAAAGACTCTAAACTTCATGACATAGTCTAAAACCACTTGGCTTTAGTTAAGTCCTATATATACTGTCTCTTACAACATCTGCTATAATTGTTATCTCTAACAGTTTTATATTCTGTTTCAACATAATCTCAATGGCAGGAAAGGAAAATGGTGTTTCAAAATCCACTGGGCATGTTTCTGAAAAGACCTACTTCTCACCAAATGTAGCTTCAGATATGATCTACAGGGAATCAATCCCAAAGCACATTTTTAACACCCCAGGACTCTTATATGTGCCTATATATTTCAATATCCAGCTAAGAACCATAAACTAATGCTTATATATTTGGACTAAAGATAGAGGTGGTTTTTTGTTGTTGTTTTTTAAGTTTTTATTGTGAATTATGTGATAGTTTACATGGGAGAACACCAGCTCTATATTCATCCTATCGTATTTCGTTTTATTGCAGTGATTACAATCCCCTCCATGCATCATCAAACAACCAAAGGGTACAACCCGCAAGTCTGCCCCCCCCCCCCCGGCTGTCAGCACACAGCACCTCTCCCTCCCTGAATCCAGAGTCCCCAGATGCTCCATCTCTCCATGTCATCGTCTCTGCCTCCATTTCTGGCATCACTGCTTCTCTAGGGTTCTGCACTTCGCTCTTCTCACTTGATGGTCCCAGGAACCTCTGCTCCTGGACTGATAAATCAACCACTCTCCTCCTTTTGTTACAAAACATCTACCTTTACATTTCTGACCCTCACAGTGAATCCTGATAGCAATCATTCAATCATTCTGACCCTCACAGTGAATCCTGATAGCAATACCACAAGAGTACTATCCTATTCTCCTTTCATCAGCCCCATCCCAACAGATTGGAAACCACTCAGTGGAGATTCCACCTTCACCAGCCCCCTCTGGAAGTAGGCTCCCTCTTGAACACTTGTAAGCCAGTCACTTCTTGTCTTTATTGCCCCCCATTTTGGGCAGTCAATGTTTAAGGTGCCCAACCCTGTCAACCCTGTGTAACCAAGGGGATGTAAATGATCCTCACTGCAAAGATTAGTTCCCTCTTTTGAGCTACTACATCCATAAGTTTAAGTCAATTTCATCAAATTGTAGTGGATTACTCTTTTTTTCCCTCTTCTTTCTTCTTATAGTCAAGTTCTGATCATCCAGTCATTGAAGTCAGGTCAAGTGGGTATTATCTGCAAGTGTGGGTGTTCTTGTGAATGTCCCCTCACTTCATATCAGCTGGACACTTCACTCTTCACTCTAGTCCTCTGTGGCCATGTCATTGCCTCTGGGCCCAGGAGTCTCCTGGCCTTGACATACTGCTAGCCAACCAGGTCTCAACCTGGGTTCACAAGAGTCTACTGAACGAAGTTAGACTTAGCTCACAAGTTCACTGCTGTTTTGCTCTCACTTCCTCTATCAGTGACCAATGTGGTCACCAGCCAGACCACATGCCTGCTTGTGTATACCCTTGAGTCTTAGACTTGGAAGGGGGTTTGCTATGAGAGGACCCGACCACTTCCCTTGAGGGCTCCCAGGCGAACAACTTGCTTGTTCTTATAGTAGTCAATCAGATTGCTGTTATTGTTTTTGATTTTTTCCTGCAGGTCTTTGTTTCACTAAGTATCTTCTGTTCTAGCCACTCCAGGCTGGTTTACTTGTCCTTTCAAGTGGAAATTTCCCACCTCAAAAGATTCTGGTTGGGGTTCAGGATTCTACCTATGGTCTTATGTAATTCAAAGGCTCTGCAGAAAGCCTGTTTCACTGGACAAGTTCTAGTTCCCTTTAAGGTATAGGCTATCAGTTATAGGCTAAAGATGACTTACAAGCTTTCTATTGTGATGTTTCTGGCTATTCCTTTCTCTCCCCCTCAAGTGTCTATTTTACAATGGTAGACAAAGGAAACCAAGATACAATCCTAACATTATTTCCCCTCTTTTACCCATTCTAACCATGCCTCAATCCCTGTATCCCAGAGCCCTGTTGTTCCAAGGTTGTGCATACATCATTATTGATCTCTGTCCTACTTACCCCATGCAAATATGCCTGTTTTCCCATCTGCCTTGTTCTTCCATTCCCCTCCCCCTTCTTGTGTACTGCCCCCCCCCAAGCACTCAAGCTATCCTGTGTCTATTCCCTACCCTATGTTCCGTCTTTCCCTCCCTCCCCTCCCCTCATCCCATACATCCCAGTGATCAACAAATATATATATACACACACACACACACGCATATATATATATATATGTTTTTTTTAATCCCACCCCCTTCTAGGGTAGGAGGTTCTTTTTCTTAATATTTTAAAATAATGGTCTTATGCAGTATTTCTCCTTTTGTGACTAACTAATTTCACTCAGCATAATGTCCTTAAGGTTATGCGGTGGCTTGCTGCTTACTTGTTATTCTCCAAGGTAGCATAGTATCCCCATTGTGTGTATATACCAAAGTTTTTTTATCCATTCTTCCACCGATGGGCACTTAGGCTGTCTCCATCTTTTTGCTATTGTAAATAGTGCTGCTTTGAACATTGGTGTGAGAGGTGGTTTTAATTTCCATTTTATCTGACATTTTTAAAAGCTCACAAATATGGCTGAATTGTGCCTCTCTGCCTTCTGAAAAATATTTTCTGAAATCTTAATGTGGATGCATGTGAGAATAGGGTTTTCTTTAATATGTTAGTGAGGTCATATCAGTGTAGCGTATACCTTAAATGCAATACATTTTGAGATATCAAAAGTAGATTACAAAATACATTGAGCTCTATAAAGATAGCACGGAGCCAGGCAGAGCCGGATGACACTGGGTTAACGTTGTTCCTTGCAGATGGGGAAAAAAATCCAAAAACATGGGAAAAGGAGATTCTAAGAAGCCAAGAGGCAAAATGTTATCCTATGCAATTTTTTTTTCTATAAACCTGCCAGGAGTAGCACAAGAAGAAGCACCCAAATGCCTCAGTCAACTTCTCAGAATTTTCTAAGAAGTGCTCAGAGCTGTGGAAGACCATGTCTGCTAAAGAAAAAAGAAAAAAAGAAGATATGGCAAAGGCAGACAAGGTCCATTATGAACGAGAAATGAAAACTTATATTCTATCTAAAGAGGAGACAAAAAAGATGTTCAAGGATCTCATTGCTCCCAAGAGGCTTCCTTGAGTCTTTTTCTTGTTTTGAGTACTGCCTCAAAATCAAAGGTGAGCATCCCAGCGTATCCATTGGTGTTGTTGCACAGAAACTAGAAGAGCTGTGGAATAATACCACTGTCAATGACAAGCAGCCTTATGAGAAGAAGGCTGCTAAGCTGAAAGAAAAATACAAAATGATATGGCTGCTTACTGGGCTAAAGGAAAGCTTAATGTAGCCAAAATGAGTCAGCAAGATTGAGAAAAGCAAGAAAAAGAAGGAAGAGGAGGAAAATGAAGAAGATGATGACGGTGATTCATTTGATTCTAACAAAGTTTTATTTTCTTGTCTACAGAGCATTTAACACCTTTGTACACAACTCATTCCTTTAAAAGAAAAAAAAAAATTGAATAGTAAGGCAGTACAATGAAAGATACATAGATCAATGGAACAGAATTGAGAATCCAAAAATTAACCCATCCACATACAGCCAACTGATCTTCGACAAATGGCCTAAGTACATTGCATGGGGAGGAGATGGTCTCTTCAACAGATGGGCTGGCAGAACTGGAAATCTATATGCAAAAGATTGAAACAAGACCTTTACCTCACACCATATACAAAGACCAAGTCAGCATGGATTAAAGACCTAAATGAGAATCCCAGAATTATAAAGGTCATCAATGTAAAAATAGGGACAAATTTGAGGGCTCTAATAGAGGGCACACACAGACTACCAAACATTGCGAATTATTGCACAAACAAAAGAAGACAAAATAGATGACTGAGACATACTAAAAATTAGAAACTGATGTGC